TCTCTCCTCTACAACATCCTTCACAACATTCTTTTGGGTTATGACAACTCTGTCATCATGGCCAACACCCTCAAAGAGCTCATTGAGGTTCTCCGCGATCCTGAGCTTCCCTACAGCGAGTGGAACGCCCAGTTCTCTGCCCTCCACTCTCGTATGCCTCAGAAGCTCGACGCCCAGTTCACTCAGATCGTTGAGCGCAGCAAGTCTCGTCATGGAGACTTTCCCGCCAAGGCTCTCACCAAGGCTTTCAACAAGTTCCTTGAGGACAATGTCGATGCTGGTGATGTCGACATTCTCAAGGGCACTCTCTCCCCTCTGACTGAGGTTCTCGACATGTACGCCGAAGGCCAGAAGAACCGAGAGCTCAACGTCATCAAGGGTCTCCTTGAGCAGTACTGGGAGGTTGAAAATCTCTTCATGAACCAGCCCCAGGAGGATGCTGTTGTCCTTCAGCTGCGTGACCAGCACAAGGAGGACATTATGAAGGTTGTTCACACCGTTCTCTCTCACAGCCGTGTCAGCTCCAAGAGCTCTCTCATCTTGGCTATCCTTGAGGAGTACCGTCCCAACAAGCCTAACGCTGGCAGCATCGCCAAGAACCTTCGCGAGACTCTTCGCCTGCTCACTGAGCTTCAATCGCGTCCCACCTCCAAGGTTTCCCTCAAGGCTCGTGAGATTATGATACAGTGTGCTCTCCCCTCCCTTGAGGAGCGAACCGCCCAGATGGAGCACATCCTCCGCTCTTCCGTCATCGAGTCTCGATACGGTGAGACTGGTTGGGACCACCGAGAGCCTAGTCTTGATATTATCAAGGAGGTCGTTGACTCCAAGTACACTGTATTCGATGTTTTGACCATGTTCTTCGCTCACGACGATCCTTGGGTGTCTCTGGCTTCTCTTGAGGTTTACGTTCGCCGCGCTTACCGTGCGTACATCCTCAAGAAGATTGAGTACCACCAGGATGAGAACGATGCTCCTCAGTTCGTTTCCTGGGACTTCCAGCTCCGAAAGCTTGGCCAGTCTGAGTTCGGTCTTCCTCTGCAGTCTGCTGCTCCTTCTACTCCTGCTACCCCTAGCGGAGGCGAGTTCAACTTCAAGCGAATCCACTCGATCAGTGATATGTCTTATCTTTCTGGCAAGTGGGAGGACGAGCCTACACGAAAGGGTGTCATTGTTCCTTGCAAGTACATCGATGAAGCTGAGGACCTCATTGCCAAGGCTCTTGAGGCTCTTGCCCTCGAGCAGAAGCAGAAGAAGAAGAACACTCCCGGCACTCCTGGTCTCATCCCCGACCTTAGCGGTAAGCGCAAGCCTGCCCAGCCCAAGCAGCAGGAGGAAGAACTCTCGGCTGTTATCAACGTGGCTATTCGTGATCTCGAGAGCCGCGACGACCGAGAGGCCCTCGAGGATATTCTCCCTATTGTTGAGCAGTTCAAGGATGAGCTCCTTGCCCGTGGTGTCCGTCGCCTGACATTCATCGGCGGTCATAGCGATGGTTCTTACCCCGGTTACTACACTTTCCGTGGACCTGAGTACAAGGAGGATGACAGTATTCGTCACAGCGAGCCTGCTCTTGCTTTCCAGCTTGAGCTTGCTCGTCTCAGCAAGTTCCACATCAAGCCTGTTTTCACTGAGAACAAGAGTATCCACGTTTACGAGGGTATTGGCAAGAACGTGGACACTGACAAGCGATACTTCACTCGTGCTGTCATTCGACCTGGTCGTCTGCGAGACGAGATCCCTACTGCTGAGTATCTCATTTCCGAGGCTGACCGCGTTGTCAACGATATCTTCGATGCTCTCGAAATTATCGGCAACAACAACTCTGATCTGAACCAGGTCTTCATCAACTTCTCCCCTGTGTTCCAGCTTCAGCCCAAGGAGGTTGAGGAGAGTCTTCAGGGCTTCCTTGACCGATTTGGTATCCGCGCTTGGAGACTCCGTATCGCCCAGGTCGAGATTCGCATCATCTGCACTGATCCCCAGACCGGCGAGCCTTACCCCCTGCGTGTCGTCATCACCAACACCTCTGGTTACGTTGTCGATGTCGACATGTACGCCGAACGCAAGTCGGAGAAAGGTGAGTGGGTCTTCCACAGCATTGGCGGTACTCACGAGAAGGGTCCCATGCATCTGATGCCAGTTTCTACCCCCTATGCCACCAAGAACTGGCTCCAGCCCAAGCGTTACAAGGCTCATCTTATGGGAACTCAGTACGTTTATGATTTCCCTGAGCTTTTCCGACAGGCTATTCAGAACTCGTGGGTCAAGGCCGTCAAGGCTCAGCCTAGCCTGGCTTCCCAGCAGCCCAAGACCGGTGACTGCATCAGCTTCACTGAGCTTGTTCTCGATGACAAGGACAACCTTGATGAGGTCAATCGTGAACCTGGTACCAACACCTGCGGTATGGTCGGTTGGATCTTCAGGGCCCGCACCCCTGAGTACCCTAACGGCCGTCGCTTCATCGTCATTGCCAACGATATCACCTACAAGATTGGTTCATTCGGTCCCAAGGAAGACGATTTCTTCCACAAGTGCACTGAGCTTGCTCGCAAGCTGGGTATCCCACGTATCTACCTGTCTGCTAACTCTGGTGCTCGTCTTGGCCTTGCTGATGAGCTCATGGGCCACTTCAAGGTTGCTTGGAACAACCCCGAGAAGCAGGATTCTGGCTTCAAGTACCTTTACCTCGATGAGGAGACCAAGACTCGCTTTGAGAAGGACGTCATCACCGAGGAGGTCTCCGAGGATGGTGAGAAGCGGCACAAGATTGTCACCGTCATTGGTAAGGAGGATGGCCTCGGTGTTGAGTGTCTGCGAGGCTCTGGTCTTATTGCTGGTGCCACCAGCCGCGCCTACAACGATATCTTCACTGTCACCCTTGTCACTTGTCGATCCGTTGGTATTGGTGCCTACCTCGTCCGTCTTGGCCAGCGTGCTGTCCAGATTGAGGGTCAGCCCATCATCCTGACTGGTGCCCCTGCCCTCAACAACCTGCTTGGTCGTGAGGTCTACACCTCTAACCTTCAGCTTGGTGGCACTCAGATCATGTACCGCAACGGTGTCTCTCACATGACCGCCAACGATGACTTCGCTGGTGTCTCCAAGATCGTCGAGTGGATGTCATTCGTTCCCGAGAAGCGCAACAGCCCTGTCCCCGTCAGCCCTAGCGTTGATGACTGGAACCGTGACATTACCTACTTCCCTCCCCAGAAGCAGCCTTATGATGTCCGATGGATGATCGGTGGTCGCGAGGGCGAGAACGGTTTCGAGTCTGGTCTCTTCGATAAGGACTCTTTCGTTGAGGCTCTCGGTGGCTGGGCCAAGACTGTTGTTGTCGGTCGCGCTCGTCTCGGCGGTATCCCAATGGGTGTTATCGCTGTCGAGGTCCGATCTGTGGAGAACATCACTCCTGCTGACCCTGCCAACCCTGACTCGATCGAGCAGGTTAGCAACGAGGCTGGTGGTGTCTGGTACCCCAACTCCGCCTTCAAGACTGCCCAGGCTATCAACGACTTCAACAATGGTGAGCAGCTTCCTCTTATGATCCTTGCCAACTGGCGTGGTTTCTCTGGTGGTCAACGCGACATGTACAACGAGGTCCTCAAGTACGGTTCTTTCATCGTCGATGCCCTTGTCAAGTACGAGCAGCCCATCTTCATCTACATTCCTCCCTTTGGTGAGCTCCGTGGTGGATCTTGGGTCGTCGTTGATCCTACCATCAACTCAACCGCCATGGAGATGTACGCCGATACCGAGGCCCGTGGTGGTGTCCTTGAGCCCGAGGGTATCATTGGTATCAAGTACCGCAAGGATAAGCAGGTCCAGACCATGGCCCGCATGGATCCTACCTATGCTGGTCTCAAGAAGCAGCTCGAGGACCCCAGCCTGTCCACGGAGGAGACCGACGAGATTAAGAAGAAGATGGCCATCCGTGAGAAGCAGCTACTACCCGTGTACGCCCAGATTGCCGTGCAGTTCGCCGATCTCCACGACCGCGCTGGCCGCATGAAGGCCAAGGGTGTCATCCGTGATGTTCTTGAGTGGACCAACGCTCGACGCTTCTTCTACTGGCGTCTTCGCCGACGTCTCAACGAGGAGTACATCCTCCGCCGCATGACTTCCACCATCATCAGCACTTCGCACAGCCAGACTGCTACCAAGAACACGGAGACTCGTGACAGATACCTGCACCTTCTCCGCAGCTGGTCAGGCATTGTTGATTGGGAGAAAAATGATCAGGCGGTTACTGAGTGGTACGAGACTGAGCGCAAGACCATCAGCGAGAAGGTCGAGACGCTCAAGTCTGAGGTGTTGGCGGCTGAGGTTGCCAGCGTTGTCCGAGGCCACGCTAAGGCTGGATGGACTGGTGTTCGTGAGGTGCTTAGAGTCATGCCCGTTGAGGAGCGGGAGCAGATTCTCAAGTACCTCCAGCAGTAAAGGAGAGAAGGACATATTGAGGAGGTTTTATGATATGGGAATCATTCCCCGTGTGTTTTTACTGGCGATTTACGCTATCGTGGTTTTATGTCATGTCATCAAGACAATTAGAAATGAAGGAGGTTAGACAGAGAACGGAATGTGTATGAGGCGTCAGGTACTGGATTAGTTTCGGTTTTAAATATCCATTTTATTATTTCAAGTTCAAGTTTGTGTCCCGTGTAAAGTGAATGAGATGATAATAAGCAATGGAATGCTATTTGGCAACAAAGATGCATTTCGTGATTTACTTCGTCATCCTATGCTACGAAAGATGCCTGACCCTATGATTCATGATGGATGATTCAATGACCACCACATAATCTTCGTCCGAGAGCAGAGTCTTTCTCTGCCATCATAGACATTCACAGCCCAAACCCCCATATACAAATGCCTGAAGCAAACCACCATGCGTTTCAATATCACAATTTTCACTCTTGAGTTACAGATTTTGATCGCTATGCTCCATGTATACGACCAATCTTATCGTGTACCATTTCCAATAACGAATCACTATTCTCTCACGATTCATTCTCGTCGTCCTCGTTATCATCCTTTGAAGACTTCTTTCCCTCGGGTATATACTGACAAGCTACAGTAAAGCCCACAGCACAAGGAATCATTATCACCCACGCCAGATGACCGTAGAAGATCTGCCCACGAACACCCACGGCATAAATGGCCGTTGCAGCACCTGGTACGATGGCTCTTATACCGCTCGCAAGACTCAGGGCCAGAGCATTCAACGTACCCAAGAAATGAGGATCCGGCGCAACGTCGTTGAGGGCTAGCTGCACGCCTGTGAATGCCATCGAGACACCAGGTCCAACGATGGTGACCGCCGCGCCCAAAATCCAGAAGATAACCGTAGCAGCGTGCGTATCTGCGCGCAAAAGCGTGTTCAGAATGATGAATCCAACGAAGAACCAGGGATACGCATATCCGCAGATTTTCATGACGCCGCGCGTACCAAGACGTCGGTGAAGTATGGGGAAGGCTATGAGCAACCACATGGCTTGGCTAGCACCTTGAATGGCCATGTAAATGGAGATCTGGAATGCGTCAAAGCCTGTGCCTCCCAGCTCAACAGGTGTGTAAAGAACGACAGGAAGAATGGCCGTGAACACGAAGGCGAGGAACATGGCATGGCTGTAAGCCCAAAGGACGAGAGCCACTTGACGAGACTTGACGAGTTCCCAGGTTGACATTCGAGGCTGGCCATTCTCTTCATGATGAGACTTTTTCGGCTCATGAAGTGTTTCTTTCAGAAGGAAAGCGGTTGTGATGCAACTTGTAGAGCTAATCAGACCAACAACGATACCTTGCAGCGCGTAGGGATAGTCGATGAAGAACTGGACATTTCCAAACGCTCGTGGAAACTGATGAGCTGGATCCGCTAGAGCACCACCGATGATGGGACCCAAAAATATTCCCACATTTCCACCAAATGCGAACCAGCTGAAGGCCTTGGCCTGTGTCTCAGGGGTGCTGAGTTCAGATAACATAGTCCTGATGACAAGGCCAGAGCCGGAAAATAGACCCGCTATACATCGGAACAGGATCATCTGCCAGATCGTCTTGGACATGCCGAATAACACAGGTCCAACAGCGGTGCCGAAAAGCGTGATAAGAAGAACAGGCTTCCGACCAATACGGTCCGCAAGTCGACTCCAGCTGAGAAGCACCGTCATCTGCGTGGCCGAGAAAAGCGATTCGATAAGACCGCTGTAGAAACCGACGTCACTCTTGGGTAGATTGCCATTCTCCTGAACCATCTGCGCAATGAAGGGAAAGATGGAGAAGAAGGCAATCGGCTCCATCACACGCGCGTAGCAGAGCAGCAACACCTGGAGTTTCGGCAGGGGTTTGCCCTCCGGCTTCGTGACGCCTGCTTCCTCCGCCGTGCCATCGCCAGAGGAAGTTACGGCTCCATAGTCACCTGGCGACGCGGTGCCGATAAGGGTTGAGGCTTCAGTATCAGCATCTGGGGCAAGTTGTCCGCCACCAACGAACCGCGCAAGCAACGGCCCAGCTTCAGAAGCATCCCAGTCATCACGCGAGGCAGAAGCAGGGCTTTGTGACTTGGATGATTCTGCCGTCATTGTGCCGTGCAATGCGGCGTCTAGGTGTGCTTATATCTCTGCCGAGCTCGCGACTGAGCTGAATGGAGGGTGGTATCTCTGCGACAGAAAACAGGGATCAAGGCGCATTGAAGTTGATGATGCTGTTTGTTCTGCACGTCGGAAGGTCTTGGCGTACTCGGAACCGGATGTGATCGCGATTCTGAGAGTGCGAGATTGAGTGCAACATGTTGGCGACAGTTTTTATGGATCTCACGCAAAGGTGCTGACTTTCCTATTTGGGTCGTCTTGGAGATGTCATCTCACCGAATATGGTCACGTGCGCAATGGCGACATCAACTGTAGGGTAGGGTAAGCTGATTTCCGCACCGTTTTCAATAAATAAAGGTTCGGTAACGTTCATAACGACTAAACGGTGCCTATGCCGGGGATATTCATTGCTTCAACTCATCCTTTTGGGGAAGTGTCATAAAATGAAGATGTTGTAAACTACTTATCAACTCAGTGGCATCTTTTGTGCTGCAAGAGCGAGACTCGCTCACCGTTTTGCAGTCACACAAGACCGTCGCTGTCTCAGTTTGGTCCACCTATTTTGGTCGTCAAGGATGTTCTGAGACGCAACAAGTTGTAAAGTAGGCTTAGGAACCTTTGGTATAGGATTTCGCAATGATAGGTCATACCTCAGCACTAAGAGAGACACACGGCTCTGCTTCATGGGCTTTCACAAATCAAACTTCCCCGGTGCCATGGCCCCTTTGACTGAGACACAGAATAAGCACTGAATCTTACCCCATAGTACCATTGACTCTGTAACCGGGAAGATGCCTGCTTCCTCTGGAGAGACTTACTCTCTACAGAGACGCTAACTTAACCCTGAAAAAGCGTGGAAATTGCAATCCAGGCTGTTGTGAAACATTGGTGCTTGGTGGTTTGTTCGGTGACAAAGTCGTTACGTCGCCAAATGTGGACTGCTCAAAGATCATGAATGCCGATCATTACGTTTTGAAACTGAGCGGTTTCTTCCGGACCAACAGATCTCTTTCAATCCCACACCGAACATATAAAAAACGTGGACGGTGGATTGTAGTTGATAAAAAGCGTATCTTGGCTGGCCGGTGTGTGAGAGAGCTACCATCGGCGGGTCAGGTTGAATCAAACATGCCCGCAGATAAACGGAGGCCCCTCAAATCTCCATGAACAGTACGTATATGGGCTCACATCGCTTCTGCTTTTCAAATGGCCAGTGAACTGAGAGGTATCATTGCGGGTTCTTGATGTATCGATTCACCGATCGCTGATTCGGCGGTACGTGACCAGACATGGCAGATACCTTTAGTGTCACACAACACTAGGATCTCGCATGGAAATCAAGTTTTCGGTTCTCAAGTGAGTTGTTCTAGACTGTTGATCAGTGCCATATCAACTGAGGTAGCCGCCATAAATGCAAGTTTGTAGACAGTCCCTGGTAAGTCCTGAATTTGAAACCTGGCTATCTGAGATTGGTATGAAGCTTCCATCTCTTGTCTCATGAACTTTCGCGGTAATGAATCCCAGAGGCAGGTTGATGCAACGATGAGATTGACGTGGCTGGTGAATGTTCGATGACCGATCGTTCTCTGAGGTGTGTCAATGGCAACAACAAATGTACCCTGTTGTGATTTGTGAGCGCATGAAAGCAAAGATGCCTGAAGGAGGAAGGCCAATAGTAGCTTCGCATGGGCAATCGTCTGAATAAACCCTCGATTCGCTATCGGATCATCGCCGACGAGTATGATGAATACCGTAGTATCGGTCTTTTGTCCCAAATGTCTCAATTCGGCTATCTCGCGGGCAGCGCAGACATCGAGATCCAATAGGAACTGGTCCGTCGGAAATGCGTTGGGCAAACATCCATTACCTAGCATAGACTGCGAACAAGGCAATATCCTTGATGAAGACTTGACCCCTCTTGCGTGCGTTTCAATGAATTGTGCAACGAGATACTTGTGTGAATATCATGAGTCAAGGTGTATGCTCGTGCATACAGGCTGCATCCGTGTGTGCAGTTTGCTGCAGTTTGCTTGAGGTTGGATGCAGGAGGAAAAAGTGATTGAATCCAATGTCTGCCTAAGATGCTGCTGAATAGGGCAAAGACAGGAAACATGGATGGCCGAGCAGTGACGGAGAGAATAGAAAGTGCGGAGAGGGCTTTCCCGGGCAGGGACTACGTAAGGCAGGAAGCAATCAACTCATTGTTACCAATATCGATCGCTCTTGCCATGCCAACTTCAGCGCGAGGCCCAAACGATGTAACACCGGATAACATGGAGACTTTCAAAACATTGACAGGCAGGGATTTGTATACCCGAAGGATCCAATGGTCGGGCAATGGTGATCAGGAGAGCAGAGGATCCGAGCTGTCAAGAGTCCAAGTGAGCCAGGGTCACAACACCATAAACGTGGATGGGATGACATGTATGTACTTGTGAGAGAAGTCGACCCGCAAATTCTAGAAGCATAAACAGACGCAGATTCGTCAACGCTGCAGGTGCAACAGCTTGAGAAGGATATCATGCATTATGTCTCTAGTAAATCATCTTACTAACGTCTTACAATGCAGGAGTTTGCAGCAACACTATCAAAGCTCCGGTTCTCCGAGCCGTTCCTTGACTCAAAATGTGTTGAAGAATGATGATAATGCATCAAAGCGGAGACGAGTAAAGTGCTACGTAATTAAAAGAGCTGTCGAACATGATACTATAGCCCAGGATGGTTATAGTTGACCTGAGAATATAATCGACTACGACCAACATATCACCAACTTGGTGATGATGATTGCTGCTAATACCAAGCGGACTAAGTAGGCAATGAACCCTTGATCCAGTCTCCAGAAAATTTATGCAAATCAGCTCAACTTAGTCCACATTAACGAAGCTCACAGCACAGGGCTAACTAAAGACCCTTGTCGAACATCCCCATTTCAACACCAAACACTCGACGATACCCAATGAGTCCTTTATCGTACCGACAAAGTTGTATACCATGCCTGCCTTGTATGCAGCTTGCGATTCGCGGATTATTCAGTGAGTTTGCTCATGCTTCGCTTGGACCCTTCAACTCGAGTCATTTATTAAACAGCCGGGTACACCAGCCGTCAGGACAAAACCAACAGATTGACAGGGCTGACGGACATGAACTGGTAGCTAAAGCCGAGGTTATACACACGACGGTTAGTCATGCGCGCTTCACTATTGGACTGCATAGCAGTATCATCCAGTTCCGACCGCCTCACCTATGCTCATCCACTTTAGTCGTAACTTGCCGGGAGAAAATAAGCCACTTTTGGGTATAGCATGAAGTGCAGTGCATTCTTGTCCAGTCTTGTCTCGGACAAATCGATCCGGTAAAACATCCCCTCGCGCTACTGCACAGGTCCAACAGCTTCATGGTGCCCAGAGCCGCGGAGAACTGGGAACAAGTCAAATCTGGGGCGGTTGAGGGCATGCCCTGGCAAGGAATTCCGTGTCCTGCGCAACTAAGTCAGCGTCTATCATTGGACCAAACAATTGTCGTGTGATTGCTGGATGTTCAGGTGCAGCCACTAGCTCTCTGGGCTGCAGGACACTAACATCGAAGTGGCGTGATTTGGTGGCTTAATTAGTCTTCAGAATCAATCTTGCTGAGTATCTCGTCTGCCTGGACTGGTTCAAGAATTGCAACACCGGAACTGCAATGACAATTGAATAACCGAACGATACTTGGGTGGATTCTGTCAGTGGGGGGACAGGACGCACTGAAGAAAACTGCTAGGGGTATCCCCTGCAGTCAGGTCCTTGCTGAAGATCGTTGTCTCACCAGCCATGATATTCCCCGTGGACAAACTTTAACGCTAACTAATGACCAGGTCACTGACCTTCTAAATCTTCTGCTGAAGCTTCTCCTGTAGTTATTCCCGGATAGCACTGCCGGTGGTGTAGATCCTGGTCATAGCTCGATGTTTGCCCCTGAGCCAAACCCCAAAACGCATTCATGCAGTGTCATCATCTTCATGTTTATGGTCAGGGCGCTCAAGCCAGACTGCTTTGTTGATGCTTTATCAGCTGTTTGGGCTTGCCAAAGTGAACTACCGCTCGACCGAAGTGTGGATGGACTTCTTCAACAACGATGCCGGTCGGCCGCTCGATCACTGTAAGTGAAGCCTCACGACTCAGCCTCTGGCGGTAGGGTGACCTTCTCTTCTCTCTTCACCTCTTTTTTTGGTCTGAGTACATGCAGAGTTCAAGACAGCTGGGCCGCCCATTTGCCTGAAGCTCAGCTGAGGCTATCATTGCTTTTTGTGACCTCGGCATGGGGAATAGCCGGTATCTGTGATGAATCCAAGATATGGACAGACGCCACGACCGTCAACCACAACCCTTCGATCTGGCAAATCGAGAACCCTTCTCAGCATCGAGCCAAACATGTTTCAGCTTTTCCTAGTTCCCTTGTCCTGTGGGAACTACGCACGTGGGCTGAAAACTCTCAACTGGACCCTAGGATGAAGTGCCGTATGTAGGTACCAAAGCATCAGGTGCATGTCTAAGATCCGACCCCACTCCAACTCAAGCAAGGAGCAAGGGAGGGAAAAAAGAAAGAAAAAGAAAGGAAAAGGAAATGGAAATGGAAATGGGACAAGAAACAAAGATCGCCCTGTTTTGGCATGAAAACTGATCAGAGCTGTCTATCCATACCATAGTCTTGGGTCCGGTTGACTAGATCCGCCCTCAGTCATGGCTCTAGAGTTCGTTCTTTTGAGGCTCCAAGCTTAAAAGCCAACGGCCACAGTTTCGTCACAGCTCTGTAACCACGACGTAGCTCGCCCGCATAAATATGCCAAGCCTGGTGCCGTTTGCCGCCGGATTCTACACCAGCGATACCCTGCATTTTCCCTCGTTCTGTTGACGGCTTGGCTTGGCTTGGCTGGGCTGTAAACCCGACAAATCGGGCTGACGTTGTTTTAACTTACAGGCACCGTTGGAGCTACAAATGCAAGTCCCCTTGTTTGTCCTTGACGCCGCGTTTTTATGCCAAGCTAAGCCATGCAGTCCCCTTGCTATGTCCACCCTTATAGTACCTTGCACCTTGCACCTTGCACTTAGATATGATATGCCCACAGGGATCGTGAGATGAGGTGAGGCCAAGTGCAGGGATCGGAGTCCGCATCGAGTCCTGCTCCGTCAGTGACAATCTACCTGCATTTTCACTTTACCTATGGAAAACTGCTGGCCTCCAACATTATATTGCACTTTACCTACCCCATCATCGATCGATATTCACGGGTCACACCTGTATATTTGTTCCGTGGCTGGCTGGATTGTCATTGTCTCATTTCATTTGCCTCGTCTGCTGTTGCCTTGCTTCAATACCACATCACATCACATCACATTCGATCCCATCAGCTAACCCTCCTTGCTCTTTAATTATTCCTTGCCCCAAACAGCCCCCCAGAGAACAAAGCATTGATCTGACGGCCTCTTCCGGTACAAGTCTGTACTTGCATCTATCGGACATATTCCGCCAGTCGGCGTCTCTTCCGTCATACATGAGCATAGAACGACAAGCGGCAGAAGCAAGCAGTGATACTCTGTTCGCCATCCAAGTATCGTGCTCTCGCTCATCCATCATCTTCACCCATGACGTGGAAGCTCCCTCTGACAAGCTGTTTGTTGGGTTATCTTTGGCACTGAAACATTGGAAGGATATCTCTGATAGGGATATTTGATGGCCATATACGACACTGCATTTGCCCAGATATGTTATAAAACCTCTCCTCGGTCAGACTTGAGGCGGAATACTAGTGTCATGTATAAGATCACATCAAGCAAATCATTCATTACTTTGGAAACAAAAACAATATGACAGCCTTTAGTATTGTTGTTCAACCTCCTGCTCGAGCCCAGGCATCGACTATCCTCCATCCACCCCTTGTTGCAGAGCTAAATTTCAGAGGGGCTATGCCTGGCCACTATTTCTTCGCCATGGCTTTCTTACTCACGAGAGAAGGGAATATTGTTGAGGGAGGCTTGTCGGGGACTACTTCGGTGAATGGCGTCGATGTAACCACAGCTGGGGCGTCAAGAACAACAATCCATTTCCCATACACAGACCTTGCTATTCTAGTTGAAGGCGCTTACAAGATAAGAGTCGACGTTTACAAGGTTGCCTACGAGAATCCAGACGGTTGTGACTTTCAAGCGCACGCCAAGAGCAGTCGTGTCACCGTCGTCAACGAAGCGGTGCCGGCTGTAGGTGCTGGTGAGTCGCACCATATCCAAGACAATAACCTTATTCATCTGACCTTCTGTTGCTTAGGTTCCGCTGAGCGCAGCATCATACGAGCTCTCCAGTCCGCTGGGGTCTATATCCCTTAATACCAACCTCACAAAATTTCAAGACGGAAAATATTCGAACCATAATGACAAACAAAGCAACAAAAACTGCAAGACCATTGATGGGTATCTGGCAGAGGCTATCGGGAAGAATCAGAATTCAAGCGGCGGCGTTGAGGATTAGGCATGAGTCTGCATGACAGGTTACAACGAGGTTTTGAGGAACCGCAGCATGACACCCACGGTGGTTAGTCGGGGAGATTTCACATGTATTATATATATCTTGGGCTGAAAGGGCCAGCGGAACTGACTCGTCAATTATTGTGTGTTTACATCCCCCGCGGAAATTTCAAAAATCATAATAACTCGGACCCTGCCCGCTGGGATACACTACGTCTCGCTTGGGAGCTCAATGGAACCCTCAGCGGTTGAAAGAGCTCCGAGCTGCAGATCAGCGTGCATAATCTTGCTTTCGAAGTTAACGAGAGTGCCGCAATATTGCTATCTTCGCAGAATGACTGATGTTGTTTGGAAGTTTTGAGTAGGGGGTCATTGGCCTGGCCATTCTCCACACCAAAGTTCAAGCTACTGTAGGGGTCGCATTCCAAAAAGCAACGATCATGACGCCAAAGGGCATTTTGGAACGCTAATGCTAGCTGATGGAAAAGTGGCTGAAATCGAAACACCAACCCCAAAGCTCGAAATAGATCCTCGGGGCTAACTAAGACCCCGAGGCCAACGACCACCGGAAAAAGATATCAGCATGATTTCTTGTGTTTCAGCAGCTAGGGAGACCCTCCGGATAAGCTGTTTGACCGTGCCGATCACGTTGTAAGTGCAATAGTAACTTTACATTGCCCTGCATATGCCAAGAAGCAACGTCACTGATCTTGACAGGGTCGCGCATAAGACCACTTGATCCGGAAGAAGCCTGCACCTACCCGTATTCCCGCGAACAGGGCCACACTTGAGGCCCAGGAGAAAACATGCTGTCAGTATGAAATACATAGCCCTGTACCTCACGCACTCATGCGGATGTGATGAGGCGAGACATCCGATACAACTCAGGCCTGACAAGTTTGCCCAAGTCGGTAGAAAGTTTAGACCTGGTTCACCGTCTATACATGTTTCGACTACCAACAACTGATGTTTTAACACCTCGGGGCCCAGAGAGGAAACCCCAAGAGAGTACAACCATCTTGCTCATTATGTACCAGGATTGGTATACATGGGGATCGTTTTCTCCGGTCTTGGCTTGGCAGCCTTGTGGATGGAGACATGCCTGAAGCCCCTGTCCATAAGCCAGTCATTGGTCTAGTTGCCTGCGTTCTTGTCCTTTGCGTCGTTGTTGAGTCTAGATTGGGTACTTCGTAAAAGTGCCATGCAAATATCTGGCCATTTGTGCAGTATCGTTATCCCCCACAACGATACCCGTGATGTCTCGGCGACTCCCGATGGATAGAGTGACTGTCAACTTACAAAGTACTGTACGAAGTTTACTCTTCACTCCTCAAGTGCGAGATACGAGATCGGACGAAACCTGGGGACCCATTTCGATGTTGGGGGTCTGATCAGAGATGGAGCGAAGCATGTCAACGTCGATCAAAAATGAGATAAGAAAAAGCAATATAAATGACCAATACTCAGTCAGGCTCGCGGTGAGACACAACCAATCTGAGTTCTTGACCAGAAAATACAAGATTACTGATACTTACCGAAGATCACTCAACCGCCGTAACGGTACATCAGGGACGATGAAACTTGGCACGGGTTAAGAAATCACAGTGGGTACCTTAAGGGAAATAAGAGGCTGAGACAACCGGCTTTGAGCTATCATCGTTGCTTTTGTCTCCGTATATTGCTATCGTGATGTGTTACACATACAATCAGTAACTGGCGACTGAGAAGGCGTCGATCATCGCGAGACAACCTTGACCAACACTTGTTTTGCATCAGTGGCTGTCCAATGTTGGAAAGGCATAATAACCGTATATTTCGATGCGAAGGGGCAATTCACGACATCGTCGCGATGTCACGTGAATCAAGCTTGGCAGGAATGGAAGGTACCCTGGATGTTATCCTGTAGGGCTGATCTACCTGCTGTTTCGGGGGGTTCTAGCGGGCGCCGAGAACCTTTTCTGTTAGCGCAGAAGTACCCCCACCAAACGGAAATTTCTCCAAGATCCCCTCATCAGAGCAGAGCACAAGCACACAGCTCACCACAAGATCGCCAACAGTGCCCATTCAGCCTCTCTATTCAATTTCTTTGTCCCCGATCTCTTTCTCTTCTTGCAGAGTTTCCAAGATGGTCTATTACTTCACCTCCAACGTGGTCGACCCACCAGGATTCATCTATGTCGGCAAGGACAAGTTCGAGAGTATGCTCATGCCCAATGACAATCATGATGCGCTGTTCCCCACTGGCTGAGACTTGATGTTAGATGAGGACCTGATCAAGTTCGGCTGGGAAGAGGATATCTGGTAGGATGCTCCATCAAATGAGTGGGCTTGTGCTAAATACATGTAGGGTGAGATGACCAGCAATAGCTCAATGAGAATAGAGCAAACTGACAACGTTGGGTCTGTGTAGTTCCACGCGGATAAACTCTCCAGTGCGCATATCTACCTACGCATGCAGGAAGGCCAAACATGGGATGCCCTCCCAGAAGAACTCGTCATGGACCTCGCCCAATTGACAAAGGCCAACTCCATCGAGGGTACCTCATCCTACCCCATCCAGTCCCAAACACGCCGTATCTAACACTGCACCCAAGGCAACAAGAAAGACAACGTCACAGTCATCTACACACCATGGTCCAACCTTAAGAAAGACGGCAGCATGGAAGTCGGTCAAGTCGGCTTCAAGGACCCCCGCAAAGTAAAGCGCGTCCTCGTCCCACAGCGCGAGAACCCCATCGTCAACCGTCTTAACAAGACAAAGGTTGAGAAGAAGCCAGACTTCAAGCAGGAGAGAGATGATCGCCTCAAGGAGCTGCGACGTCGTGACCAGGCAGCTTTCCAAGCAAGGGTAAAACATCCCCCATGAATACTGAGCGAGATTACTGATGCCCTTGTAGAAGAAGGAGGAGGCTCGACAGGCTCAGGAGTGGAAGGAGAAGAAGTGGCAGAAGGACCATGCCTACGATGATATATTCACAGAGGACAACATGGCTGGTTCGAGTAACCAGGACCGCGATGAGAACTGGGAGGACGACTTTATGTAAAAAGGAGGCAATGCCATAGAAGCATGATATAATGCATATTCTTGCAATTTATGCAACTATGGAAATCCAATTTTGGACTATTTGTCTTCATTCTCATCATATTCCAACGCTAACAGGGTATTTTTAGACAAACTTTCCTTGCCAGACAAAGAAAAAACCTACGACTACTGTCGTTGTCAACCGCTAACGCCTATCCCAAAACTACCACTCATACTCATTTCTTCAAATCGGTTCGAGATACCACTCAGGTCACTTGATGTGTCCAGGCGGATCGGGCTTGATGAGCTCCGATCGCTGACGCCGCTGAAGTTCGAGACGGGTGACTTTGTCATGCTGGGGGTGTCTCTGACCGGATCGGGGGACATCACTAGTTGAGGGGGCAAATCATCTTCCTCCTCTACTAGGTCCGATAGATCATCTTCATCAGGAAGCTCAGGCTCGGAAACCTGTTGCTTCTTGGAGGCAGCACGAGTCTCTGATCTGTTGAGAGTCACCACGGCCTGTCCTCCAGGAAGTTTGACTTCGTGAGCTTCCAAAGTCTCTGCAATATCCCAGAGGAGGACATCCATGGGGCAAATGTACGCAATACGCTTGCGTTGACTCCATGCAAGAACATGTCCGCAAAGTTGGCCCTCGTCACGGCTGACGATCCAAGCGCCGCTGTCACCAGGGATACCGAGAGGGACATCCTTGGTCTGTGTTCCTTGTTCTGGTGCGTCGGCGCTTGTGACTTGATAGGCATGGCTGGGCGAAACTCGACCGTAGATCTTCACACTGGTGAGAGCTGGGAGAATCTTGCCAGTCTGCAAGCCACTTGTTCGAGCCATGCACTGGACCTCCATGTTTGGCAAGGAGTCTGAAGGGGCAACAGTTGTCGGTCGCAGCATGGGCAACCCAGCTGTCTGCTTTCCATCAGGCTTTTGAGCAGGCGACTTGCCATCAATGCGAGGAATGGTGTTGTCATCAGGCAATCTATCGTGAGCGAATTCGAAGAGAGCCCAGTCAACCTCATGCACGAGCCCGAGGGCCTGCTTCCTGCGGATGCCACTTGAAGCATACACCTCCCCGACACTGTATGTGTCTAAGTGATCATCGTCTTGAGTCTCTGGATCAGGGTAGAAGCCCTCTTCCACATCATCGAGAGCTGGTTGTGTGACGATATAGCCATCGCCACATCCTGGTTCAACTCCAGGAATATCTCCAGGCTCATTATACTCCTCGTCTTCCTCATCATCTTCGTCGTCCTCGTAGTCACTAGTGATATCGGAATCCGAGTAGGCCTCGGATTCGGTATCAGAGAGCCCATAGCCAAACTCATCATCGACAGTGCTGTCATCACCAGATTGCGCGTACCAGTCCATATCAGGCAGGGCACTGCACCTCAGAGTGTCACTAGGCCCAAAGTCACGGTCTGGATCATCGAGCATGTGGTGGACTGTCATTCCGTAAGGCTTGTCGTCAACCATGACGAGGCCTCCGAGGCTAACAGGCGGCAGATGTCGATCACCAATCCATGCTCCGATGCTGGCACCATTGCCTGGGCGCTCTTGGTACTCTGGGTTGATGGCCTCAATGTCGTCCGATTCTAATCCAGTACCCTTGGCACTCCTTCGGGCCATGGATCTGAGGACTGAGTTTGGCTGTCGGCGAGATCTTAAAACATGCCCCCGACAGACTTTGAGTCCGAAGCCGTTACCTCCATCAAAAAGGTCACCGAGCCTCTTCCTAAGAATAGCCCGGACTTTCCCAACGGATGTGCACACAACAAGCACTGTGGGTTGAGTCTTCTGAGGACTTGGGCCTACTGACTCAAGAGAGATCTCAACCGACTCGGGGTGCTTGCGGTAAAAGTGACGAAGAGCGTGGTTGATCTGGGGCATGAGGGATTTGTTCCACTTCTCCACGACTTCTGGCGCCAGAGGCACATGGGGATAAAGACGCATCTTTGTTTCTGACTGCTTGTCGAGAGTATCTAAGAACACGTCAGCATTTAAGCAAGCACATGGATTGGAATTAGAGCATACCATCTTGATCCGCGACTGCCTCAAACTTGGGGGCACTCTTTTCTGTTCCCAGGTTTGGCGCTGATGCTGAAATTGGCTTCTCGCTTGCAGCTTTTAGTGATGGCTTGAAATCTTTGGCATCCTTTACATCCTTGTTTATCTTCATAGGGGCTGCATCAACGGCAGGGGTTGGCGTCTCAGACGGGTGAAGTTCTTGGTCGAGCCTCTCCTCCAAACCACTAACACCGTCCAAGATACAGCAGGCCTCCAAGAAGCGGCTGCAGCGAACTTGCACCGATGACAGCAATGATTCACCAGAAGATCGTCCGGCAAGCTCGTCATCGACTGCCGTCCAGCAAACCTGAACGGCCTTCATATATAAACTGCCGCATCTGACAGCAAGCTCTTCTAAGGCCGACTCGGGGATGGAAGGAGATGCATCAGGGACAATATCCTCAAGTTTCTTCCACAAACCAACTGAGAGTAACAAAGTGGCCAAGGAATACAGATCGAGAACTCTCTGGTCAGGATTGTTGACAAGAGGTGAAGTTTGAGCATTGCGTGGGTCGAGCGGATGACGGGACAGAAGTGGTGATGTCGAAGGGGTATCTTCAGGAAAGAGGTCAAAAGAAGAAAGGAGAGGACGTCGAATATCCACCTCGCCATTCGTCGCACCCGGTTGCGACGTGACTGCATCGCAGAATGAGACAGTGGTCGGGGCAATATTTCCATGGGTGATGCCACGCGCATGTAGGTCGAAAACAGTGTTCATCAGATTGTGAGCGAGTCTGAACTTGGCTTCGAGCTTGGGTTCTGATCCTGGAACAGAGAGAAGATCATTCAGTGTCGGGAGGTTATAAGAAGGGTTCTTAGTGAGACGCTCGAATGAGACGGCGTTGAATGAGGGAGGAAATCGATAGACAAGTCCGAGTCTAGAGTTTTCCAAATCTTCGAAATACCCGAGAAGTCGAGGTAGTCCAGTCCATGTGCCCGGCGACCGTTGAGAATCTTGCTGCAGACCTGCGGATAGTTTCTCAAAGCGAGCCATGGGAGGCATAATACCTGTTACGGCGTAAATTGAGTCGAAGGTCGCATACTCGAGAAGCAGTGGTGCCCATGGTTGTCGTGTAGTTCCATGTGTGAGTTCAGAATAGGCTGTCTTGCTCATAAAGACAACTTCTCGAGGAGCTGAAGCCTCATCGCCCTGCTTGGGTCGTAGATGCGTCAAAGTCTGAGGATTAATTTGCTGAGGCGTTTGCATGCGACTGGACTCGAATGGCCGATACTCCTCGGTAGATGACATGGACTTGAACGGTGTTTTCGATGATCTTCTTGGAATTCCACCAGCTGCTCGTGTTCTTGAGAGATCGTAGAGTGTATCAATCGAGGCAGTGAGATCATTAACCAAATCTTCAAAATGATTCTTATCCCATTGAACCAGCGGCGGCTTCGTATCTTTTGACGTAGCAGGTGCTGAAATCATGCGCTTTGAGCTTAGCCAAAGAGGTTCGGCTTCTGCTAGAATATCCTTGATGGTGGACATGATACTGCCAACAACTTCACTCAAACCAGCTTTTGATAGAGACTCATCGATCTCAACAGATTGAGTGGGATCAGACCATTCGAGACCCCAACTGACCAATCGATCCTTTTGAATGCGTAGTTTGCGATGTAGAGCCTTGATTTCTGGATCTTCTTCATTTTGAATTGGCTCTTTGACAAAGTCGGTTGATTTCTTCGTATCGTTGTACAGTCTGCTCAGGCGTTTCTGAAAGGGCAGCTGAAAGCCACCCAGTGGCAAAAACGACTCCATTTTGGTGTACTGCTGTGAATATGTTGAAGATAAGTCCTAGAACGGGAAGTAAAGCCTGTTTATGACAACAGTCGCCAAGTCCGAAGGTGATGTCTTGATCGTGATGCTTGATGGCGATCTGAAGCGGGGCTCTTGGTATCAGTCTTGGAGGTGGTGTAATTAGTGAGGCTCAGCCATTGGCGGTCTTGGCCAGTAGATAAGTAGGTAAAAAGGGCAAACAAAGTCACATGTATTTAGTGAGTGAGAGGAGAAAATAATGTTCTTTTGGTGGTATGGGTCAAATCATTTCCTTTTGTTGAGAGAAGCTGTTTATTTCGTTGCCTACACAAAGCGGATCTTGCGGCGCGGCCTATTTGCGGTCATTTTCTAAGGGTCTCAGAATCGGAAATGCTGCTGCCTGAAGGATCAGCAGGTATCCCATTGGTCAAATATCTACGAGAGAAATTTAATCCGCGCCGAGATGATATCTAATCATGTGATCTCCATTGAAAGAATGCGGCTGCCTATCAACCCTTGCAACCTCACTCACATACTAATCTGCCAGTATCACCAGCTTTGTCTTTCCAATCCAGTCTTTGACGTTTCCATCTCACCACGTGGCTGACGCCATGACCTGAGATTTAGGACCCCTCAGAATGATAAGTTGATGGTCAGTCTTGTTTGACATGCCCAGCCATATCTTGTTGGTTGGACATGCATTGATGTCTTATACATACGGCAACTTGCATGATACCGGCTGATTAATTCTTATCAATTGGTTTTATATCCTTGGGTTGAGAGATAACAGCCATTCCTGCCAAAGACCCCAAAGAGCCTTACACTTTGACCCATAATACTGTAGCGTCACGAGTGACCTTCGCGACTTGTTCAAGTGAGGAGAAGACTTCTGAATACCTACGTACTATGCAAACGTAGGCTTCAGTCTTCGGGACAATCATCATTACGCACTCGAATGCGAATGTCACTGAGGTTTTCTCGAGGCTAGCTCGTTTCACCAAGTGCCGACTTGAACAAGACACATGCTTTGGTGATACTGCTAGCTTTGGCCCGTTTGCTTCCCACACCACAACACCCTCTAGTCCATTGCTCCAATATCAAACCATTGATCCAGACCAAAACTCCCTCGCTCTCCTTCTAGGCCCTCCATATTCTTTGGTTCAAGCAATTATCCCGCCTCCGACACACACCAGTTACGCCCTTGGAGTAACTCGCATGCAGTTGCCCATCTCCCACTTACCGATGCCCAAGTGTCTGCCGTTGATTTCCTCTCCAATAAACGTACTTCGTCATCCAGTATATCAGTATGATTACGGCGTGAGAGATCCTGCACCCACGCAGGCGCCTGGTGACATCCTCATGTGGATATTGCCGGGCTGTGTACAGTGTCACTTCCTCAGCACCGGGCATGTACATGAGAGAAATCACGAATTCGATTTCAGGCTCCAGTGATACTTCCAGGCTTCTTTAATCATGGTCGGAGGTTGCTGATTTTGTCGTTGGCCGTGATGGTGCCTAATGTAGCAGTTCAGTTTCGGAGTTGACAGCTCAAAGTCGCTTCCCAGCACCACTCTGTTAACAGCCCGGCATTATACACATCTGGTTATGATAACAATCAAAACTTTCGATTTCATGTCTTTCGTCACTATAAATTTACCCAGAATTTGTCATCTGTGCGATATGTTAGTCTGGATGGATATCTCAAAATGTCAAGGGGTCGACAAAGCCTCCCACCTGTAACACTCTAAAGGCATGAATACTAAGTTCAGTTGCTGGCATTGGGCAATAAGATGATGAACCGAATTCATTCTTCGTGCTGTCTATGTGCAGCAATGCTAGTAGCTATGTCTATGTATTCTAATCTATTCTTAATTATCCAGATAATTAACCAATACCCAATTCTGACCCATGACCATTCCGAACCCTATTACATCTCTGATGCTTTTGTACATGAAACTAAAACAAACATCCTCATAATACCTTTGCAGGCATAGAAACAACTCTTACTTTTCATACCGAATCGTAAAAACAGGCGAATACGCCTCGTCCCAATCCTCCTTCTTCTTCTCATCACCAAAGATTCTCAATGCTCTATATCTCACAACATACTGTCCCGCCGGCGCAAAACTGCCGTCTGCAAGTTCACCAGTGAAAGCTTGCGAGTTAGCACCCATTGCATTCCACAGCAGGGGAAAGTCAACTGGTTCGCCGATAACGCGCGGCTTTTTAGAAGAGGTTGGTTTCTCGGTTGTCACGGGCATAATCTCAGCGTGAAGTTTTGCTGAGCCCAGAGCGAGGAACCATGTAAGACCGGGGAGTGTGTCGGTGAGATTGTTTGCTGTGCCGGGCTTGGGGAGCGTCCATGTTGTGTTGTCAGGCATAGGGAAGCGGTTCTCGTCGGTTGAGTTTGCGATCCATGTATCTTTAGGTCCAAGAACCATTGAGTCATGGAGAGAACCTGTTAGTCCTTGGTACGGAAGTGATAGGGATGTTCCGTCGGTGCCGTTGATAGCTACATAACCTGACCATACAGGCAAACGCGTTGCGTTAAGACCCTTGGGAGGCGTAGCCAGAACCTCGATGACGACGCTTTCACCAGCATCGATGGTGACTTTTGACTCGCTGAACTTGAGGCTAGCATGCTCTTTGGCAGAGTCATTCGGAAAATCATCCGGATAAATGTAGTTTTCGACAAGTGTAAACATCGTGACGGCTGGGACGTGAGAAATCTGCAAATCGACCTGTTTCTTCCCCGTATTCTTAACCGTAAAATTCAAAGACTCGGCAAAATGATCCGTGTCGTTGAACGAAAGACTCGATCGTGATAAAAGAACTTTTGCGTGAGCGGCATCATGAGCCTGCACGATACCACCGCCCTGCTGCGGAACAGGCGCGAGAAAGTCATAAAATGTTTTTCCATCATTGAACAATTGCGGGTTTGCGCTGGCTGAGAGGAGGTTCTCGATAAGAGCCGGATCGCGTGTGCCTCTGGCTTCTGCAATAAGAGCGACAATGCCTGCGACGAGAGGTGAAGCCATCGAAGTACCTGATAACACAGCGTAACTTCCCATGCTTCGGGGGTACGTTGAGAGTATTTTACCACCTGGGGCTCCGAATTGAGGCTTTACGTCCATTTCCCACGTTGGACCCCATGAGGAAAAGGTACTGGCTGCACCAGCTGTGATATTATTGTGCTTCTGTTCGAGAATAACGTTGCCGTCACTTCCGTCCGACATGCTCAGAATGATCTTCTTCTTTGCTTTCAGGAAAGCGATCCAGTCTGCGCCCTGCTCGGGAGATACGATGCTTGCTGCTTTGATGCCCTCGACGGAAGAGACGTCGAAAGGAGCGAGATCCTCCTTGTTGCTGTAGAACATGATGTACTTTGCACCTGCCTTCACCGCATTGGCAGCTTTGGCATCGAAAGTACACGAACCTCGTCGAAGAAGAACGATATACTTGCTGAGATCAGGTGTGTTCTTAGGCCACTCATCGCAACCATCATCAGGGACTGAAGTGTCGTAGTTGAGTGCCCAGAGCGGAAGCTTCACGCCCTTCCAGGTACTCGGCTTACCACTCAAGTGTCCAAACTCATGCTCAGGACCTCCATCGATGCTGTATCTCGACGCATTCAGGAGCGAGAGAGACTTGGTATTGTCAAACGATCCAACAGCAGTAACTCTCTTCCCATTGCCCGCCGTACTCGCATAAAACATACCCATAGCCCCTGCATTCCCCGCCGCAAGAACACAAGGAACGCCCTGCTCAACGATTCTCGAAACAGCCACGGCCCACGGTTCTTCCGACCACCCCGACGGACCACCAATAGAAGCTGAAATAATATCCGCACCGTCTTCAAACGCTTGGTTGAACGCTGCGATAAGAACGTCGTTTCCAGCTTCGCCGTTGCAGCCAAATGCACGGTATGCTCCTATTTGCACACCGGGTGCGGCGCCGGTGAAGCCCATTGTGTTCTTCTGGGCGGCGAGAATACCGGCGACGTGGGTGCCGTGACCGGCGCAGTCCATGGGGTCGTTGTCGGGCTTGGCGTGGTTGAAGCCGTCGTATGCGTCGCCTACTAGATCTGTGCCGAAGGAGACGAGACAATCTTTGCCGAAGCAGCCGCCTAGGGCTGGATGTTTGTAGTCAATCTGTATAATTGTTAGTTCCGAGTATTAGCTGGATTGTGAAGATAACTTACACCACTGTCAACGAGGGCAACCTTGAGGCCCTTGCCCGTGACGCCTTCAGCCCTCAACTTATCAATCTGAGTCATAACATGGGGCGAGAACGTATCGTTCACAGCATCTCTCTCTTCAAAGCCTCGTTTTTGAATAGACTTGTACTCCATTCCCGGTGTACCCGTCCAGTGGACCTCTGGCTTGGGAATACTGTACGTTTGCACAGGCCATTTTTGCTTGATGCCCGGCAACAAGGCCATCTCGGAAGCAAGGTCTTCAGCATTGTCGATATCGGTGAATTGGATCGAAGCTCCCTTGAAAAGTTTGTAGTTATACTGCATACGAGTCTTGCCTCGTGTCGAAGCCTTGGCGAAGAAGTCGGCACAGTCCTAAGTTCTGTTAGTTATGGAAAGGGACATAAGAGAGGATACTATACGCACATGATTCTCTTCAAACTCAAAGATATAAGCACCCGGTAATCGACTATGGCCCTTCCCAACAGCAATCTTATCAAAGTCCACTGCGCTTACTACAGCAGCGCATAGCGCAGTCACTAAACTAAACCGTACCATGATAAACACCCTTCTCCGTAATCACGAAGAAATCACCAAGATACGAGAGAGAAAGGAAAAGAAGAGAAGAAAGGGAGGATTAAACGAGATAAACCTGATCTCAGCTTTTCCGCCTTGGAAATAGGTCGGCTGGGGATCCTATATACGATCATCATAGCCCCATTATTGACACAAGCTGTGGGTTGATCCATGATGGGGAAGAAAGAAGAAGTGGGTTTCTGCGGGATAGTGGACTTTACGAGATTGCAGGCCATGAGAAGAAATCCTACGAATGAGAGTGTAGGATATATTTGAAACAATTGTCTTGGATACTCTCTACCAATGGGTTAAATGGTTAGTTGCAGAAAGAGTCGGTATCACTTCACAGCTGAGGAATCCGAAGGCAGGCGGAGGTTGGGTTGTGTTGGTTGTCAATTGTCAACATGAGATCGACAGGCACTGCACGGATGTTGAAACTGGGTCCATGTCGCTAAACATAGGTCATCTATGATAGAGCCGCATGAGACGATTGCGCGTACATGTAGTCAAATCAAGTTAAGACAAATTCATGGTTGAAAATGGTCTAGTTATATGCAAGTTTGCGGTTGGGTATCTATATCTAAATAGCAACTCAACCACCAACCTTGAATCTAGACTTGTTACTCTGCAAAAGCGAATACTACAATGCAAGTTCCGTCACTTGAAACTCAATCAAAAAAGATCGTCAAGCATCGTCATCCGATCCTTTTGATCCTCCTTGCACATCTTAATCTGCCCCACGATCGTCAGGAGAAACAATCCCACCTTAACCCACGACCTTGTTGAACAACCCTTGGGATTTCCATGGTTACCATGCATATGATTCATCAGACAAGACTATCCACGGAATTTGCTCCGCTATGCAGACTTATGCAGCACTTCCCGTGTCGTACCAAGCTGAACCTCGTATTTGCCGTACATAAAAAGAATGGCACTAGTCTTTGCTTGGATACACGTAGCCAATGGGCCCACGACACCATATGCAGGGCGGGAGACGTTTCTAAAATAAAATAGAGAAAGATTCTTGATTTTTTATTTTTGAGGATGGTGTGATTGATTGATTGATTGATTGATTATGATGTAATGTGATATACCCGATTGCGACTGGTTTGAACAAGTGATTCAAATTGCGGCTATCAATTCTTTGAATGTGTTGTATTTGTGTTGGGTCAAAAGTACGTACACCACGTTTTGTATCACAGTTAAACGGTAGGCCCGTTGTGTGACGCCGTTGCTCGTGATAGTTCCCGCGTAAAGTCACACACAACCGATCCAACTCCCTCGCACGAATCTGTATCACATAACACCCACGACAAAAGCTTGATTGATTCACAGATGTCGCTAGCCAACCACCCAACAGGCTCTGAACTGATTTGCTGAGAAGGGACATGGAAGAGCATGCACTTAAGTAAACGTCTTACACTTGATCAAGCTGTAGTGAGCGTCTCCATAGCAAGCTCACCCACGGCATTGAGTCTTATCACAAGCCCCGGCAGATAAGAAAATCCGTTGTGGCTACGCCGAGACAAGCTCCGTGCCTCCGGCGCCGTCTCCGGAGGGACTGTGTCATGCCCCATCTGTGATTGGTCCATCTGACCATGCCGAGTGTGAAATGTTCAAAAAGGTTGGATCAGAAAATCAGAAATGCGGCATTGCTGCCCAGTGAATCACTAATTAATTTATAATGTTCTCCCTTGTTCAAATCAGTATTCAACTTAACATATTGCAACATCATAAATTGGTACTGCCTCGTAACATTAAGCAAGTTGAACTCGGAGAGGCATCATAGCCAACATGTCAGAAACAGATCCTCGTACAAAAGAGCAACCCTCTACTCACGATACCGAGCGCAATATACAACTATCCGAAGAACCCAAAAAGAAGGAAAACGTCTCAGCATTCAAATCCCTTGGTTGGCTCGACCGTTTTCTGGCAGTATGGATTTTCCTTGCCATGGTCGTCGGTATCATTCTGGGAAACTTTGTCCCTTCGACTGGGCCGGCTCTTGAGAAGGGCAAATTTGTTGGTGTTTCGGTTCCAATAGGTATGAGAGAGCAATCGGTCCACGCAGTTGGTCAAGTGTACTGATTCGATGTGCTAGCTGTCGGTCTGCTCGTCATGATGTATCCCATCCTCTGCAAAGTTCGATACGAGAGTCTCCACGAGATCTTCTCCCAGCGCCATGTCTGGAAGCAAATTCTCTTCAGCATATTTATCAACTGGATCGTCGCACCCTTTTTGATGGTAAGCCACACACCATTCCTTCCCACATACAACATTCTGACACGCATAGCTCGGCCTGGCATGGGCCTTCCTCCCAGATAAACCCGAACTTCGCATCGGTCTCATCCTCGTAGGCCTCGCACGCTGCATCGCCATGGTGTTAATATGGAACGGTCTTGCGGGCGGTGACGGCGAATATTGCGCTATCCTCGTGGCGATCAACTCGATCCTGCAGATGGCTCTGTACGCGCCAATGTCGGTTTTCTTCATCCGGATCATCAGTGGAGAGGAAGGCTCTCTTGACGTGTTGTACTCGACCGTTGCAACTAGTGTAGCAGTCTTTCTCGGCATCCCTCTCGGTGCAGCTATCATCACTCGCTTCTCCCTGCGCAAGATGGTTGGACCAGAGCGGTATGAGCGTGTCTTTCTACGCACCATCTCTCCCTGGTCTCTCATTGGCCTTCTTTACACCATCCTCATCCTCTTCGCTTCACAAGGCCATCAAGTGGTACATCAGATCGTGTCCGTAGTACGCGTCGCTGCCCCACTCATCGTCTACTTCGTCATCATCTTCTTCGCAACACTTCTCGTATCTCGACATGCTGGCTTTGGATACCCGCTCTCAACGACGCAGAGTTTCACTGCGGCGAGTAACAACTTTGAGCTTGCGATAGCAGTGGCTATTACCACGTTCGGACCCAGTAGTGACCAAGCGCTTGCAGCGACGGTTGGCCCGCTGATCGAGGTTCCGGTGCTTTTGGGGTTGGTATATCTCCTTCGGTGGGTTTCTGATAGATGGAACTGGAAGAACTGAGTTTTCGGATATGTAGCGACACAGAGTATCAGGTCATCTCATCCATCAAATGGAGTAAATCAGTATTTCGAACCATGCAACTCTCGCCTTCGGCGCATCCAAGAGCAGCCCGAGCTTGGAAGATATCCGATTGGCCTCGGATTTGAGCGAGGATTGTAGCAGCTTCCATACAGTGAATCTTGTCGAGAGACTTTGGTTGTTGAGGTCCGGCCTGTTGCTGTGGTTGCGACCCAGGTTGTGGTCTAGGACAGCAGCCTGATTCTTCTGTACAAGACGTAGCAGTCGTAGCAGGCGTTGGCGGCGAGTATATCTTTGGCTGAAACGCAAATGGAGGGTTACTATTCTCGCTCAGCGGAGCACATCCTTGAGGTTGCAAGCACGGCATAGGTCTCGAGGCAATAACAACAGGCGAAGCATTAGAAGACGGCGTAGAAACAGGCGTAACAGTCGCCACACCAGTTCTCACAGCCATCTTCTCCTCATGCTTCACAGCCTCAACATGAGCCTCAACCTCCTCAATTGACACACCCTTCGAAACAAGCAAACCTCTCAGCGCAGCATTCTCCCCAGCAACAGCCCTCGCAACACGCTGCATCTCAAGCGTAGCCTGCCCATCACGACGTTCATACTCACGTACGCGATTCTGCAGATCATCGAGTAATTCACGCTGTCTTGCGCGAGAGCGACGCTGGTTCTCGCGATTGAGAGCGAGAGACTCGGGGGTTCGAGTCTAGTTGGGTTAGTATTTGACGGATATACGGGAGTAAGGTGGGAAATGTCGTACCTTGCGTGGCATGATGGGTTGGGTAAATTTTCAGCTGAGATGAGATGAGACAAGATGAGCTGAGCTGAGCTGATTGGGGTATTGGATAAATGGTGCGCTGGAGAATGAGTTAAATTGGTTGAAAAGGTTGTCTGAAAAAGCATCGTACTGCAGCAGTGGTTTTTTAGTTCCACCAGGCTTGTAGTCTATCTAATACGAACTGGGTAATGACTCTCCCACACTCAATCCTTCAATGAATAGACCTCCCTCTTGGATGAATATGTGAATACCATTGTACTCTGCATTAATGAGCGTAGATCAATTGAAGCAATAAAACAATAGCATTCACTCCATTTTGACCCACGGCCAACAAACCGTGATCGCTCGATTACAAACCCCTCCACATTTTTCTCTCTCCATGTATCCCAATTAGGTAATCCCTACTTCGGTCCAGACTCAAACTCCACCATCGTCATTAACTTCACCACTTCTCCAACCAAAACCAATTGATCTAATTGCACTCTAACACGATGATCTGCAATTCCTGTCGCCGCGCAGCAATGCGCTCTGCTCGTCTGCCTCTGCGCACACTCATCCGCGCCCCTACGACTATCGCCCGCCTTACAACACAAACACCTACCTCAACACCGCGAAGACTTCTCTCGACCTCTACGACTCGATTCTCCGCTGCTGTTGAGGAAGAGCCCGATCTGCCTTCCATGAGCCCCGCCGAATCTGCCATCGCCGAAATTCTCTCCGAGAAGCTTCAACCTACCGAACTACTTGTCCAAGATGTCTCGGGTGGTTGTGGGAGCATGTACGCCATCGATATTACATCCCCTGCTTTCAAGGGCCAGACAATTTTGAAGCAGCAGCGCATGGTAAATGCTGCTCTTGGAGATCTTGTCAAGGGCTGGCACGGCGTTCAGATCAGGACCAAGGTCCCCTCTGCTTAAGCGCAATTGGCTTACGGAACAACATATCTTTATGTATACAATGGCGAAAATTGGTGGAGATACTGGGTGGGATGATTGTACGACTATGGAGATTGCTAGAGTTCAGGACGCCACGAATGGGAAGACATGTTTTGTGCAAGATTCAGATCCTGCTGCAGCTCAGCAGTTATCACGAATCGGTTGAGCCTTGAGTCGACAGGCTAGTGTATACAAAGGAAACAGAAGAACAGTGCATAGGAATTACGGCCGAATATCTCAGCTATGGGGCAAACCGAAAAAATACCATTCATCATCCAAGCACATGCCTGGCAATCGCTGCCGTTTAATGGTGACTTCAGTTCTCTATTTGCCTCAAACGCATTGTCCGATTTCGCTCTGAGGTTATGCATCAGACACAGCCTCAATGGTCGATGGATGAGTGCATTTGTGACTCAGGCCGAGGGACCTGCCACTCCTTCAAAAAGTTTCTAGATGGCGAACCAACTCACCGTCGAAAGATTCTATGACTCCTCGGCATGTTGTGCTGTTTTGGGGAGACCATTGAGTCGGCTGGGCGTAGTCTGTCACTTTGTCCAGTGGCTGATGCCAGAGAAATGTTCACACCAAGTCAATCTGAGCGTCTTTGAAAGACAGCAGAGATCAGGCTCCCACGAAGATAAGTTGAATGGGTATATTAACTTTTCATAGTCTCGTCTAATGCGCCATCAGTCGAGATAAGACTCGACGCCCATCATTCCATGCCCCTCTTTAAATTCCTGTCCCATTTCTTTTACAAATTCTTGTTTAAACTCGTAGCTTACATTCTATACATCGTTAGCAATTACTCACAATGCACATCTTCGGGAAACATACCGCTCAACAGGTGTAAGGCCAAGTAGACTCATGCCATTGTGGAGAACAATTCGGGCGGCATCGTACAGAGCCATGCGAGCCTTCTGAAGCTCAGGCTCGCTGCCAACAATTCGGAGGTGATCGTAGCTGGAGCTGAGAACGTGTGTCATCTTGAACAGGTATGTCAAGATGGTGGTAGGCTCGAGTGTCTTGAGAGTGTTCTGGACAACGTCAGGCCACTGGCTAAGAAGTCGGACGAGGTCGGTAGCGTGCTTCTCGGTCAGAAGGTCGTAGTTGGCAGTGGCCAGCTCATCATCGGAGAGACCAACTCGTCGGCGGATAGAGCACAGACGAGCGTGAGCATACTGGAGGTAAGGGCCAGTATCACCCTCGAAAGAGGTCATGACGTCCATGTCGAACTTGTAGTTGTTGATTCTAGGGTAGTCAGTAACAAATTCTTCAATGAGCTTAGGATACATACCGCTTTCCGGACATGTCCTGGACCATAACACTGCTGATACCAAGGATATCGGCAACAGCCTCAGGGTTCTCGACCTGGGAGTACTTGGTCTCGTTCTTCTTCATGACGTCGTGCATCTTGTCGGCGACATCACGGAGAATGTCGTCAAGGAACTTGACAGTACCCTTTCGGGTACTCATGCCAAGGACCATACCGAAGTTGATGTGCTGGCACTTCTTAGCAATATCCTCATGACCCATAAGCTCAATGGTCTTGAAGAGCTGCTTCAAATGAAGATCTTGTTGAGAAGCAACAACGTAGATCATGTGGTCGAAGTTGTACTTCTCGTGTCGGTTGAGAAGCTCGCTAATGTCTCGGGTGAGGTACAGAGCAGTGCCATCCTTCTTTCGGAGAATGACCTTCTCGAGGCTCTTACCAGGCTTGCCAGGGACGTGCTTAGAGAAGTCAATGAGGATAGCACCGTTAGCATCCTCAGTAAGACCCTTCTCGGAGAGAACCTTGGCAGCCTTCTCCATGTCCTCCTCAGGGACCTGAGACTCTCCTGAGTACTCATCGTACTCAATGTTGAGTCGGGCATAGGTCTTCTTGTAGCGGGTAATGCTGAGATCTCGGAATCGTCGCCAGAGCTCGACGGCCTCCTTGTCGCCATCTGTCATTCGTCGGAAGTACTTTCGGGCCTGCTCGTCCAGGGACTTCTCCTCGAGAGCAGTGACGTCCTCAGCAGCAGCCTTCTTAGCCGCAATCTCCTCCTTCTCAGCAGACATATCCTGGTTGATTCGGACGTAGAGGTTGAAGAGATGGTTGATAGGATCAGCCTTAAGAGCTTCTTCATCACCCCACTTCTCCCAGGCCAAGGCCAACAGACCATATTGCTTACCCCAATCACCAAGGTAGTTCATTCGGGTAACCTCCCATCCAGCAGTCTCGTACAAAGAAGCGAGGAAACCACCAATGATGGTACTTCGGAGATGACCAGCGTGGAAAGGCTTGGCGATGTTGGGTGAGGAGAACTCGACAATCATTCGCTTCCTGCCAGAGTTGGGGTCGTTAGGATCTCGAAGACCGTTGTAAGGGTTCTTGCCGTAGTTGTTGGCGCGTTTTCGAATCGTAGGGAGGAGCATGCTGGTAAGCTTGTTGGGCTTGAAGAAGAAGGAGATGAAGGGGCCAGCAGCAGTAGGCTTCTCAATAAGAGGAGACTCAGGGAACTTTATCTTGTTAGCTATGATTCAACAATTGCTACTTCATGCGACTCGCCTGGGCAACCCATTCCTCAGCAAGCTCTTGAGGCTTCTTGCCCTTCACTCGGAGAGCAGGAACAGCAAGAATAGCATCACCCTTGTCGAGAGTCTGAGTCCACTGGATGGCGGGGTAGATAATCTTAGGATCAACACCAGTAATCGGCGCCAAAAGGCTTGTGATGTGTGAACGGTAGATATCGACGGGGTTGGTATCAGGGTGGCAGCCAGGGAAAGACTCGATGTTGTCGAGACCGAGCTGCTGGAGCTGGTCGGCGAGAGCGTTGGCGTCTGTCGCCATGGTGCGTATATGCTTGATGGAGGAGGGGTACTTGTAGTCGCGATGCAATATCTGTTGTCGCGGGGACTGACGACTTGAGAGTAGAGAAAGGGTACGAGTCTGGACAAAAGCACGTCGCAATGGCAAAGAGGACGTTATAAGATAACAAGAAGTAGAAGAAGAAAAAAAGGTGGAGGGAGTGAAGCGCCGCGCGAGCATCAATGGCGATTCCGAATGAGTGTGAGTCAAGTGGGCTCAAGGGTTAACAAAAAGGCTTTGACTCTTTCCATTCTTTCCTGCGAGTCATCATTCGCCGGAGACGGGCGCAGAGCTTGAAATCGCGGGGCACGGTTGCCCTGAAATTCCGTTCCGATTTTACCCCTCCATCTCAGGCTACGATAAGATATGATTCAACTTCATTGAGTCACAGTCAAACACACAGCTCTCTTTCGTGTGTATAGACGGGAAACCAATTCTTAGATCAATTTGTATTGAAGATTGAACAGACTAAAACGCTATTGCTGACCATTTGAGACACCCTGTGATATTTGCCGAACCTTTTTCACACTTAACATGAAGTAACCCCTGAGGTCCTTCATAGCAAACCAACCCAAATTAATATAGAACCGAAACTAGACATAGCTTATTTTGATGCGCCGTAGTTGTGAGACAACTCCCCCGAGAAGTCCATCCATCTTGCATTAGAGGGGTATAACAAGGAAAGATCTAGACGTTGTGGTCGCCAGGGTTCATCTTCATATCGTTGGTGCCAAACTTGCCACCGTTCAACTTCTTGCGGGCAATCTCCTTGCGCCACTCAAACATGGTGTTGGGCTTGTCCTTGATGGTCTGGCGAAGCTTCTCATCACTTCGCTTCATCCATGCGTTGGAAGAAGCAGTGCTGACGGGGTAGAGAGGCATGCTGTTGTGGCTGAGGAGGAATGAATCCGGCTCGCGCTTATCATGAGACGCAATAATATCCATATCAGCCGCAATCTGATCGCAGTAGATCTCAAGGGGAAGATCGTTGACATCGTGTCCGAAGGGGTTCTCGATTTCCTGGCCGATAAATAGAAGGCCGAAAATGATATAAGCGGCAACAACAGAAGCAGGAATCGTAATATACTGGAGCTTTTCGACAAGCTGGAAGGGGAGGACAAAGACGTAGACGAAGGTGATCTGGCTGATAGCAATGGTGTAAGCAATGGGAAGAGGAGTGTTGAGGACACGGTCACAGCCAGTCATGCAGTCGTTCATCATGGTGAGATGATTGTAAGCAAGAGTCTGCTGCATTGGGACAGGGAGTTGCTCCTGAGCGACCATTCGATCAATGGTGATGGCAAGATGGTTGAGAATCTCGAGAGGGAGGTTGCCAAGAGGCTTGTCGGTCTTCTTAAGAGCCTTGCGGGGGTTGCTCTGAGCAAACGACACACCCAGGTACTCTCCGACAGACTTGAACATGTTCTTCTTCTTGATAGTGGGAGCATCAGGATCAGCGGCAGTGGCCTCCTTGGCGAAGGTGTTAAGATGACCGATGAGGTGCTCCAAGTCGGGATAGGCACTGTAGGGCTCGAATCGCAGGGCGTGCTTGAGAGACACTGAGAAAGCAACAATAAGGTTCATCGCGCCAATCTTCTTAAGAATGGTCTCACGAGGATCCTGATCTGGGACATCCTTGGCGTGAATCCAGAAGACACGGCCCAGTGTCTGAGAAGCCATGGTAAGCATACCCCAGTATCGACGACCTTCGGCGTAACGCTCGTACGCAGTCGAGGATCGGAACGACAAACTAAGACCGACGACGAAACCCAGAATGGTGAGCAGAACCGAGTCAACAGAAATTTTATGGACCTTGTCGTGGATGAGTGTAATGGCAGTCGACCAGGCGCCAATAGCGACCAGAGGGATGATCAACTTGGGCATGATGGAGCCGTGCATCTGCATGACGAGAGGCCATTTTGAATGCTTCTGAAGATCACGAGGACCGGTGAAGTAGTCATCAATGTCGAGAGATGTCTGCTTGCGGAAGAGAGCTGGGTTGACGCCTACAGCGGGAGAGGGGGGGGAGCGAACACTATCGAGGGGGATTTCGAGACTGTGCAGGCGCTTTTGATCGGAAGTATCGAGGCTTTGAAGACGCGTAGGATCATTGTTTGGGGATTGGGGCTTCTCTTGGGTTTCAGTGTTGGTGTCAATTGTTGGTCGGTTGACGGCCGTGGTGGCTGTATGGCCAGAAGTTGCAGAATAGCTATCGCCCATGATGTCGATTATTGCGTTCGATGTCGATGTATTCAACAAATGAGAAAGATGGAATCCTGCCAGCAGGCGTGCAAGGGTGAAGGAAAATTCAAGCCGATCAGAAAGATGAGAGGAAATAGAGAGAGGATGCTCAAAGGAGAAGCCAAGAGC